CCTGCATGTGTGTGCATGTGTGTGTGCCTGTGTGCATGTGCACAGTCATCTCACAGATGCTATCATTTGCCACACTTGTGTTGGGAGGGTGCACAGAAGTGTTTGAACCTAAACTAAATCACTCGAAATGCTATGCTTTTTGAGATCTTCTGTTTGTTCTAGTGCATTTTCTGCTTTTCTTCTCTGTTACTGGCTACCCATTCTCATTTTTGTCCACTACCCTGATGCCTGTTTCCGGAAGTCCCTCCTCCAAGATCACTTATATTCATTACAGTTCTGCGTAACACATGAGTAAACAGTCTTTAAGGGAGGGCATTGATTTGCGACAGAAATTTTGGATTCTTGGAGGACTTTTCTTAAGTCTCTGTGGATCAGCTGAATGCAGTCAAGTGATGTGTGGCCATGACCAGATTATAATAAATGAATCCTATCAAACAACAGATTTTGAAAAGTTCAACAGCCTGAAGAGGAGTTATTTGTACAACTAGTGTCTTTGACCCTTTACAAAAGGGATTACTTTGGGTTCTTTTGAGCAGGATCTTCCTTGATGTACTTAGGAATTCATTTACATATTGTTAATTCCTTGACACAGAAACCAGAGGCAGAAATCCCAAAAGACAGTGTGTATTGCACATTATATGGCACTGGCTGAGACAAGTGAAAGAGAAAGAGAGAGAAACGACCCAAACCAGATTTTTAACTCAAGAAGATTCCTCAGGGTTGATATGTAAACAATTAAAGCCTAGAGTTTGCTCTCAGGATCCCCAGGAATATGCATTATATCCAGTCCTTTCTCCCAGAGCTCCTTCTATAACCCATAGAATCGATGACATTCATCACCCTGTCCATCCATTGCCTCTAAGGTTGGATCCTCACGCTTGAAAAACTATTGCCAGCAAAGACATGGAACCAACTCAAATGCCCATCGATGATAGACTGGATAAAGAAAATGTGGTACATATACACCATGGAATACTATGCAGCCATAAAAAGGAATGAGATCATGTCCTTTGCAGGGACATGGATGAAATTGGAAGCCATCATCCTCAACCCGCTGACGCAGGAACAGAAAACCAAAACACCACATATTCTCACTCATAAGTGGGAGGTGAACAATGAGAACACATGAACACAGGGAGGGGAACATCACACACCAGGGCCTGTTGGTGAGGGAAGGAGAGGGAGAGCATTAGGACAAATAGCTAATGTATGCAGGGCTCAAAACCTAGATGACAAGTTGACAGGTGCAGCAAACCACCATGGCATATGGATACCTATGTAACAAACCTGCACGTTCTGCACAAGTATCCCAGTATCCCAGAACTTAAAGTAAAATAAAATGAAATAAAATAAAATAAAACAAAATAAAAAGAGAAGCTATTGCCTTAATTTGAGGCCCCCAGGAGCCAACCCTAGGGCAGGGATGTGGGTGTGTGTAGTTTATTTGGGAGGTGATCCTAGGAAGTAGTGCCATGTGACTGGGGGGTGAGATGAAGGAAAGGAAGTCAATAAAGGGTGCGTCACTGAGCAGGCTGTGGAAAACGGGGATTCAATCCCACTGGGGGACACTGGGGTGAGATATGGAGTACCTTACAGTGATCTCAACACGAGGGCAGTGGACAAGATTAATTACCGCATCTCCCTGCAGCCATTGGTTAAAGGCTATTCCTGTGAGGATTAATGTCTCATGTGTGCACAGAAATGGTGAATAGTGTGCATGGTGAAGGGATCTGGGTGGAGCCCTTTAGAATCTACCGGTTATAGCCTGGCCAACATGGTGAAATCTCATCTCTACTAAAAAAAAAAAAAAAAAAAAAAAAAATACAAAAAATAGCCATGCATGGTGGCACACGCCTGTAATCCCAGCTACTCGGGAGGCTGAGGCAGGAGAATCTGCAAGGTGGAGGTTGCAGTGAGCCAAGGTTGCGCTGTTGCGCTCCAGCCTTGGTGACACAGCAAGACTCTGCTTAAAAACAAACAAACCAAAAGGAACAATAATTAGTCCCATGTGGTGGCACACACCTGTAATCTTAGCTGCTTGGGAGGCTGAGGCAGGAGAATCACTTGAACCCGGGAGACAGAGGTTGCAGTGAGCTGAGGTCATGACACTGCACTTCAGCCTGGGCGAGAGAGTGAGACTCTGTCCCAGAAAAAAAATAAAAGAAAAGAATCAGCTGGTTATTTATTTATTTATTTATTTGAGTGTCAATCATCAGCAAATTCTCCTGCTCTGATTCTGCACACAGTGCACGAATTTCTCCCAACATTTCTTTCTTTAACTCTGACTGTGGTTTTGGGATTGGTGTGAGCCTCAGTCTCCTTAGTCTTATATTTCTGAAGTCATGAAGACTTCCATCTGAGGTCCCTGCCCCTTTCCCCTCCCAATTCTCCAAGTATAACCTGAACATCAGGATCCATAGCTACCAGCAGGAGTTGCCTCTGGAATGAGTGCTGTTGTCACTATGGAGCCAATATCCCGGGTGCTGGAGGGAGCTCTGAGCTTCCACAATCCCTTGCTGCAGATTGTCTCAAACGGGGAGGCTGCAGAATCATATTTAGCCTTCAGAAAATTTTGTACGGGCTGCAATTTATCTTAAAATGTGGGAAACTCATTGCCAACAGTTAAAATGTGTGGGATTGCATACAAACTCTGGATTTGTGGCTTGTCTTGAAAACTTGGAAGACTCAGCAATGTTGGGACCACCCAATGGGCTGGAGTTGACTAGCAGCTGCTCCTTAGACGGGACCTGTGCCCTCCAGGTCATCAGTTTTTTCTGAACCACTTGACTTACTTCATTTATTTCTGTGACTTCCACAGGCATTGGAGTTTTCAACCCTTGCCTCTTCTCTCTTGGCATCTGCCATGTTGCATCTGCCTCAGTTAATTTGCCTGGATCTTTATTTATCCATTGGAATTGGATTGCTAATCTGTCCTCCTACCCTTTTGACTTTAGTTTTTATATTTTCTCTGGATTTTGTCAACTTCTTCTCCCGAGGATATAGGACGTTGTTTCCTGTTCTCGCAGCCATTTTCTGAAGTCTTGTTATAAATGGACAGAAATTATAATCTTCCCACACTTTAAGTGTCATCTGCTACCTGGATTCCTTCTGTATTTATCTACTGATCACTGTGGACAATTTGGGGTCTTGATGCAGACCAGGGCAGAACCCAAGACTGCGGGATACTTTGGATTATGTATATTACACCATCAGTCTATGTCTTTGGGAAAAGCATTCCCAGTGTTTTGGGTTGCGTCTATCTTTGGAGTTCCCCATCCTCTCCACCTCAGCTTCTCCACTTCTCATCAGTCCATGCTGCTGAAATTCCAGCACGCTTTGCACTTGAATCTAGTAAGGTTATTAACATTAAATATACTGTTGTCACTCTCATTCCAGATGGTTTTGTTGCCATGGAATTCTGAGAAGGTGCAAACCATGCAAAAATTCTCTTTCCTGGTCTCAGCCCAGCTAATTAGATCTGCTCTGAATCCAGTTAGAAGAGAAGCTGGTGCCAATCTAGCAAGCAAATAACATTTTCTCCTGGTTTCATTATAGAGCATAGAGCTTTCCCCCTTTTCCCTCCCTCAATCTGCTTTTTTTTTTTTTCTTTGAGAGGGTATCAGGAGGAGGGCCAGGTGATTTGCGACTTTGAGTATCATTTATTTCATTGATTGAGACTTTTGAGGTGGAAAGGAGTGAAGGCAGAGAAAGTGATTTCTAAAAGGATGGTTCACTTGGCATCTCTCCTTGGACAATGCAAACTCCACATGATCAAGCTCTTCTTCGATAGAAAATGACTGATACAAGGACAGAAACTGATAAGTCACTTACGTTTGCAAGTTTATTAGTTGGATAGTGTTTGTTAGAATTATAGCATCATAGAATCTGAAAGTTGACTGTGACTCAACCCTGCCTGTTGCAGGAGAAACAAAACAAAACAAACACCTATGTCCAGAAAGAGGAATGGGATTTTATTCATTTATTACTTCATTAATTAAACCAGGCAAACATTCATTGACAATGTGTGGCACTTCTGGCTAGGAGGGACACACAGATGAAAGCTGTGCCATTCCCAAAAAGCTGATTTTCAGCTTGAGAGGATGAACAGGCAGTGTAGCATTGTATCAATACACAGGATTTGTGACCAGCTTGCCTGGATCAGTACCCAGTTCTGCTTTTTTCCTGGCTGTCCAACTTTGAGCAACTGTCTGTACTCTTATTTCCTTCATCTGTAGAATGGAGATAACAGTGTCTTCCTTTAAGGATATGCAAGAAGCATTAAGGATAATTTGGGTAAAAATCCTGATACGTGAAAAACTCATTGGCCAGGTGTGGTGGCCCATGCCTGTAATCCCAGCACTTTGGGAGGCTGAGGCAGGTGGATCGCCTGAGGTCAGGAGTTCAAGACTAGCCTGGCCAACACGGTGAAATCCCATTTCTACTAAAAATACAAAATTAGCCAGGTGTGGTGGCACACATCTGTAGTCCCAGCTACTCGGGAGGCTGAGACAGGAGAATCTCTTGAACCAGGCAGAGGCTTCAGTGACCCAAGACTGCACCACTGCACTCCAGCCTGGGTGAGAAAGAGCAAGAAAATATGTCAAATAATAATAGTAATAATAATAATAATAATAGTAAACTCATTAACTGTAGCTATTATCAAAGTAAACAATTTTAATGAAAAGTGATGTAGGTTGTGAGCATAAAGCAGGAGTGTCTCACCCATTTTGAGGAGCCTGGGAAGGTCTTCCAAGCAGAACCAGGAACAGGGTGGAGGGGAATGTGCATTTGGTGTGCAGAATAGAATATGCGGAGGAGTGAAGAAGTAGGGAGGGGTAGAGGTGGGAGAGATAAGGGCCAAGTGGTGACAGAGCCAAGATATCAAGGATGAGAAAAAGGGAGGAATTGAGGATAGTGTCCATTTCCTGACCTGGGTCCCTAGTAAGTGAAGGTTCCTCCCATGAGACCAGAATTGTAGGCGAAGAAAGGCTGGAGGGAAGGTAAGGAGTGCATCCATGAGAAGGTGGGTTTTTGGTGTTGCTGAGGCTTCCAGTTGGAGATTTCCAGCAGGCAGTGGTGATATCTGGACAGAGATGAAGCCTGGGAATATTAAATCAAGAGTCCTCAATACATGAATGGTAACCGAGAAAAGAAATGAGGACAAGACTTCAGTGAAGATAGGGAAGAGTGGAGAGGGAAAAGGTCCCTGGAGAGAGTCCACTGAGCACTGCGGCATTTGGGGGCATGGCAGAGGAGGATAAGCCAGAAGAGAAGAATGAGGAGGTGGCTCTTAAACCAGAAGATAATTTATTGCCCATGATACTGAAAAGTTGGGCAATTATCAGGCTATAGAAACAGCTAGAACCAAGATATCTATCTATCTATCTATCTATCTATCTATCTATCTATCTATCTATCTATCTATCATCTATCTATAATTTTGTCCTTTGTTATCCTTCCCCCCTTCCTATCCCTGTCGCTCTTTCTCCCTTCCCTTCTCCTCCTCCACCTCCCCTTCCCCCTTCTCCTCCTTTTTCTCCTCCTCCTTTTCACCTCCTCGTCCTCTTCCTTCTCCTGCTCCTCCTTCTTCACCTCTTCTTCTTCCTCCTCCTTTTACATCTTCACCTCCACCTCCTCCTCTTCTTTCTCCTTCTCCTCCTTTTCCACCCCCACCTCCTCCTCTTCTTTCTTCCCCTCCTTCTCTTTCTCTGCTTCCTCCTCTCCTTTCTCCTTCTCCTTCTTTTCTTCCTCCTCCTCTTCCATCTACTCCTTCTCTTCCACCTCCTCTCTCATCTCCTCTATTCTTTATCTTTCTCCTCCTCTTTAATCTCTTCCTTCTCTTTCTCTTCTTCCTGTTCCTCCTTCTCTTCTACCTCCTCCTCCTCCTTCAACTCTTCTTCCTCTTCCTTCTCCTCCTCTTTCACCTCCTTCATTCCTCATTTTCCTTCTCCTCCTCCTGCTCCTCCTTCCCCTCCTCTACCTCCCTCACCTTCTTGGGCTTTCATATCTTAGGAATGTTTTCTTCTGAGTGTGACAAAGATGTCTCAATCAGCTCCAGATTTTCACCATTTCAGAGTCCAGTCTAGCTGACAAGAATAAAATTCATTTGCTTTATCAAAAGTCACAGGTTAACTCCTGGGGCACTCACACTTACCTGACAAATTGATGAGGCGGCTGGAGAATAGTCTACAAGGATTGGCCAGGCCTGGATCTCATTCTACCATGTGTTCTAGTGGTGTGTCTCATGTCATCCAAACCAACAGACTGAAAATGAGTGAGAGAGAATTCTTTTAAAAAGTAAGGAAAAGAAAGAAAGCTGGACAGGCAAAACACAAGATGTCTTCTTAGAGAGTAGGAAGAAAATGAAATCTGAAAATGAAAAATTGGCTGAGTTTAGCTTTATGAAAACCTGATCACATTCTCCTTTGTTTTTGCATTTTGTTCCAGATAATTAACAACTGTCACAGGCAAGTTTGCATTCATTGGTGTTAGGTGACCAAAGAGAAAGGCAAGAACCTTGGCTTTTTCTGGGAAAGAATGCTCATCATTTTTCTATTTTCATAAAAAGAAAAAGAATCCTGTGAGCTTTTACGCTGTTTCAGAACAAACGTAACTGTGACTCATGTTTCACAATTTATGTAGCTGACTTCACATACTTTTGACAGTTCTATCATGGTTTAGATGCTGCGAAATATTTGTTTTCCTCTGCAGAACCAGGGTGGCAAAAATCCACTTGCTTCGTGATTATTGATACTCTATCCCGAGGTTTCTCAAATTCAGCCCTATTGACATTTCGGGCAAGATAATTCTTTGTTTGTTTATGGAGCTGTCCTGTGCATTGCAGGGTGCTCAGCAGTTTCCCTGACCTCTCCTTCCTTGAGCCCTTGTGGTGACAACCCAGAAGGCCTCCAGACACTGACAAGTATCCCCTGACCCCTGGTTGAGAACCACTGCTCTACACTTTGGCTTCTAATCATGCAATGTACTAGAAAAGGGATCCAGGGAGAACAGGGGAAGCTGGAGAATAAGGATAAAGCATAAAAGGATATCTCTGCCTTTTTGCGTGGGCTGACCTTGATGGGGTACAGTTTGGGGACCATCTGCCACAACCCCTTAATTTTCTGTTCCTCAGATCTCAGGAGAAGGAAGACAGGGAACCTCACCCAGCCAGCAGGATAATTAAAATCCAATCTGGGTGTAAAACGAGATGCTTGTAATATAACAGGAGCCTTTTGGAGCTCTTCAGTCAGTGAATAGAATAAGCTTGCTGCCTATAAATAGCACAATTGGCAGCCAACCCCTCTGAAAAACACTCAACATGCCGGTGTCAGAGGAAGACGTGTCCAATGCTTTCGACACTGAAAATAAATACCGCGAGTCAAAAATAAATGGCATTATTAGCATAAAGGGAGTCCCTAATTAACCAGCAATAGTCCATTACTGTAGCCGTCAATTCATTAAATTGCGTAATTACATAAAAACTCGGTTGACGCTTGATTCAGTCAGTGTATCTGTTATTGTCTCCTCAATAATTAGTTCTATAATTGTCAGTTTGACAGGGCAATTAAAAATGTTTGAAGACATTGTGTCAGCTTCCCTGTGTGCGGCTGCACTCCGGAGGACGTGTCTGGGAGAAAGCTTCCATCTGGGTGACTTGAGGGTGCTGGCTCCTGGGACGAGGACAAGGAAGGGTAGGGATTGAGGGGTCTGGGGGAATTATTCCATCTGGGGGGATTGGGTGCCTTTGCTTGAGTGGTCTCAGCTGTAACTGCAGGGCTGCGGAAGAAGTGGAGGAAGTCAGCAGCGGGGATGTATGAAGAGTTCCTATTCTGAGGTTGAGTGGGCAGGCATTACTATTCAGTGTGTTTGGTCCTGGTGGTGAGGACCACAATGTGAGTTACTCAGTGGCAGCCTGGGTGAAATCATCCTGTCCTGGAGTTTCAGTTCAATTTGTATTAGGACTTCCACTGATGCCTAGGTGTGTGGAGTTGCTGTTCCCCAATAGGAAGGAGGCTGCTAGTGAAGGCTCTAACCAGTCAATATAGGTTTGGGATTTCCAGGTTTGTATATTTGTGTAGCTAAGAAAGAATATGGCTTGCTCAGAACCCACTCCAGGGACAAAGATATCAGACTTCTGACAAAGTTGGTCTAGTTCTCACTTCTAGTCAGGGCTGGGCTGAGTCTCTATGGTTCTTTTCTGGTCATAGTTGACACAAGAATAGGGCAGGACAGATCCTACATGAGTAGATACCCAAGCTCTGCTGTTGAGTGCGGCTGGGGAGCACGCAGGTTACTCAGATGAGTGGGACTCTATGATATGATTTGCCTGTGTTCTCACCCAAATCTCACCTTGAATTGTAATAATCCCCACATGTCAAGGGTGGAGCCAGGTGGAGATAATTGAATCATGGGAGTGGTTCTCCCATACTATTCTCATGGTAGTGAATAAATCTCATGCTATCTGATGGTTTTACGAAGGGGAGTTCCCCTGCACACACCCTCTTGCCTGCTGCCGTGTAAGACATGACTTTGCTCCTCATTTACCCTCCGCCATGATTGTGAGGCCTCCCCAGTCATGTGGAACTGTGAGTCCATTCAACCTCTTTCCTTTGTAAATGACGCAGTCTCGGGTATGTCTTTATTAGCAGTGTGAGAAAGGACTAATACACACTACATGACTAACACCTAATTATTCTGGTCTGCATAGAATCGTGACAGCCCAGCATAGGAATGAAATCTCAAGTTGTGGGGGCAGAAAAATGTCTTGAAAATCTAGGTGGCTGGTCCCAGGTTTCCATTACTCTGAAGCTTATCTGCTTGTTGTTGGCATTCTAAAGCGGAGGAGGAAGGTAAGTTTTTTTCTCCTAGAAGCAGCAGTTGATGGATGTGTTGACACGACAGAGAAGCAAACTGCAGAGGGAAGGTCAGACTCAATAGGACATTCTACACAGGACACAAGGTGTTTAATTGAAGACTTTACATTCTTGGGCCGTGATCCAATTGGATCTTTAATCCACAAAGGAACCTCCATTCTTCCTGGTGTGGAATTAAGAGGAGGAGAGGGCTGCAAATTTCTACCGATGTTTTTTATTATTCTGCTTCTATGAACAATGTGTTCTTACCAACCAGGGCTGTGATGAGTCAGGTGTGTTGCTGCTTCCTCAGAGGAGGAGGGTAATGAAGTCCTAGAAAAGCCATGCCTGCTTTTTGTAGGGTTCTTCTCCAATCGTTACAACTGACTCTAAAAACATGCCAATCAGATGAGTGTTCAGTCACTTTTGTGGCTTTGTCTGAAGAAGACTTTACGAAGGCACCAGTCCATTGGTTCAACCAAGGCCACTCCACAGTTACTATAGAGTAGAATAAGAGGACACACCCTCTCCAGGGCTTCCTAACAAGAGGTGCACTTAAGACTCATCTGTGAAGTCCTCATCTCAGATCTACTAAATCAGAACTGGAACAGAGTATACATGTACAAGGAACACACTTTTTTTTTTTTTTAGGCGGAGTCTCGCTCTGTCACCAGGCTGGAGTGCGATGGTGTGATCTCAGCTCACTGCAACATCCACCTCCTGGGTTCAAGTGATTCTCCTGCCTCAGTCACCTGAGTAGCTGGGACTACAGGCATGCACCACCAAGCCTAGCTAATTTTTGTATTTTTAGTAGAGATGGGGTTTCACCATGTTGGCCAGGATGATCTTGATCTCTTGACCTCGTGATTCACCCACCTCGACCTTCCAAAGTGCTGGGATTACAGGCATGAACCACCACACCCAGCACACAATTTTAAATGTATTCGTATTAATAGCTTAATCCTTGCCCCAGTCAATATTCTATCACTGATAACTCCTCATTTATTCCCAGCCTCCGGTTCCCTCTCACTGGAGATTCTGGGTTATTTTGTGTAAATGAGAGTAATTATAAATGAACCAAGGATTTCTCTTATGGGTTTATCCCTGTCAATGTCATCTATCTGTCTGTCTGTATATCTGTCTGTCTATCTATCTATCTATCTATCTATCTATCTATCTATCTATCTATCATCTATCTAACATACCTCTCTCCCCCTCTCTCTCTATTTCTGTAAGACATAGTTCTCCATCTATGTGAGGGAGAGAAAAGGCAGGAGTCTATGGTGAAAAGGTTATGGAGTGAAGGGAATTTCTGATAGAAGTCACCTTTAACTCACATTTTGGCTAATGAATTGCATTTTTTGGAGGACATAAATGCATTGGCTCTACTGGCCAGGCTACCTGGGCTTTGACCTTGGGTGAGTTCTTTGATTATTCCATGCCACATTTTGGCAGTTTCCTCGTTTTAAAACTGGAATTATTACATTTTTTTTTCTAGAAATGATTATTGGCGTCCATATGTGCCAGGTACTGTTTTTTGGGTGCTTGGGCTACACCAGTGAATGAAGCAAACTCAAATCTGTTTTTTCTTGGGAATCTCATTTTTATGTGAGGAGATAGACAATGAGAAACAAATACAATAAATAAATAAATTAAGTGTTGTGTCAAAATGGAACAGGGGAGAGGAGATGGGGAAACCTGGTGGGTGGAATGCAATTTGAAATAGAGTAATTAGAGAAGACTTCATTAAGAAGGTGACATTTGAGCAAATGAAAGCCAAATCGGCTTCAGGACAGTGTATATCCAAGGAACAATGAGTGGTTGGGGTGAAGTAAGCAAGGAGGATGGCCACCAGGTTTTTATAGCCTGCAGAACCATGAGCCACTGCGTCTGGCCCTTTTGTGCAGTGGTGAAGTCAGACAGGTAACAGATAATTTAGTCAGACAGGAATTTGTCCGCCAAAATACGAAATTTGGCTTTTATGCTGAGTGCAATTGGGAGCCATGGGAGGGTTTTAAGCAGAGGAGAAACTTTATATAATTTGTGTTTTAAATGGATCCCTCTGAATGTGGTATGTCAGAAACAATTACAGAAATTCATGAGGAAAATGAAGGAGACCAGTCAGGAAATCATTATAGTAACTCAGTCTGGAAGTGGCAGGTGACTTGGACCAGGTCTAATAACAGGACCCATCCCACAAGAGCTTTTGTAAAGATTAAATGAGGTGATGGATAAATGAACATAGAATGCTGTCTTGCATAATGTAAGCATGCAACAAGTGGCAACTGTTATTCTCTAAATGTGACCTCATGTCAGGACTGGGCCATACAGAGCCTGTGATGGTGAATACTGAGTGTCAACTTGATTGGATTGAAAGATGCCAAGTAATGTTCCTGGGTGTGTTTGAGAGGGTGTCACCAAAGGAGATTAACATTTGAGACAGTGGAATGGGAGACACAGACCCAGCCTGCATACAATGTGAGGAAGCATTCTATGTCCATTCATACATCATCTATCTCATTTAATCCTTACAAAAATCAGCTGCCAGTGCGGCTAGAATAAAAGCAGGCAGAGGAGTGTAGAAGGACTAGACTGGATGAGTCTTCTGGCCTCCCTCTTTCTCCTGTGCTGGTTGCTTCTTGCCCTTGAACATCATCAGACTCTAAGATCTTCAGCTTTTGGACTCTTGGGCCTACACCGGTGGTTTGCCAGGGGCTCTCGGGCTATCAGCTGTGGATTGAAGCACTGTCAGCTTCCCTACTTTTGAGGTTTGGGGACTCGGACTGGCTTCCTTGCTCCTCAGCTTGCAGATGGTCTCTTGTGGGACTTCACCTTGTGATTGTGTGAGTCAATATTCCTTAATAAACTCCTCTTCATATATGCATCTATCCTATTAGTCCTGGCCCTCTAGAGAACCCTGACGAACACAGAGCCTAGAATGTATTTGGATTTTAACTTCCTCTTTTTAATTTTGGAAAAATTTCCGGGGGATTCTACCCTGCATCTCAAGGTAAAACTAATGGTCCAGTTTGTTTGTAAAAATGATGTTTAGCTATATATTTACACAAGTTCTCCAGAGAGGATTAAATAGCGTTCTTGAAATAATAAAATTGTCCAATTATAACAGGATATTGGCAATATAAAATGCTTTAATATTTTCTTATTTTATTAAAGCTAACACGATCCATTTCTTCCTTTTCCAAATCAGTCTTATGTTTCCAGAGAAGCATAAGAGATAAAAAATATAAAATTATTTTCTCTTACTCCAAAACCTTCTTATTTTGCTTTGTTACAGTCAAAGATGCCTCCCTCTGGTATCTCATAAGATTCTGATTGCCTTATTATGCAGC